ACAAAGCAGGGTTTAGCAGACGATCCCTTGCTGGTGTTGGAGTTTTTGAAAATGTACGAAGCCATGGACCTGGTCTAGCACTGCTGGCCAATGGGGGCGAGCAACGACCTGATAATGTTGCTAAAATTATAAATTTATTGTATTTACTCGAATCTAAGCCGCATTTTTTTTCGCAATGTTCATGTTGCTGAAAATCAGGCGCGGCTTAGAATTGAAAGAAAAAAATGTTTGATGGGGTATTCTAAGCGATTACAGGTTCATGTACGTATTTAAAAGTTTATAATATTGATAAAAAAATGGTGCGTGGAACGCCCCGCGATAGAAGTGAAACGACGATGTTGGAACATTGATTATTTGCCCTAATACTCCAAACTGAACGTGTACATGTCTTAATCGCATAATTTGCATGGAAGGTATTCGCGGCGAAATGAGTCTTTCTGATACCAAATCCAGAGTAAGAAGATGTGCTGGAATTTCTGGGTATACAAAATCATAATATTTTGATAAATTTGGTAAACTTTTCCTATTTAAACTTTGCGGGCAATTGTAGCATGCTTTAATGTCTTCTTAATTAATTCCCGGTAAAATATTTTGCAAAATATTTTTGTGCTCAGCAACAGGCGTTCTCAAATCATCTCTAAACCATAATCTATCACAAATCGAACACCCGTGACCGAAAGGATTATAAACGAATCACTTTTGAAAATCTTTGCTAGCATTTTTATAGGAATCATGGTCTTTGTAACGTAAGATAGAATTTATAATCGATTCACACGCATCAGTTCCAACACGAACTAGACTTGTTTAGGGCTCTGTAGTTGATGGCACAGGGTGGTTCACAAAGTCCGTATTAATCTGTGATGTCATTAGAAGAGTCTCAATAGCATTCCCCTCCCTTAAACTCGGCATTAAGAGAGTATTTTGCAATGTTTTTCTTCATGCTTGATATTCTCTCATGTACTCTGATCGAGATTTGGCAGTAGCAATTGATGAATTTGCACTATTTTTCTGTTTTTTTGTCACTTTTTCAACTGAACTTGCTTCTAGTTTTTCTTTTTCTTTTTTTCCCCCACGAAACTCTTTTCCTCTTTCTGCATTTGATTTATTGCATTCTGGCTAGAATTAATAATAATTCAATTAAAAAAAACAAATAAGAAGCCGAACACATCACTATGTAACCAACAATTTAAGAAAATATTTCAAAAGGCACGTTTTTACTGCGAGAACTATTTTGTCTACACCATAATGCACACACTGCGACTCATACAACCATTGATAGATGTTCCTGAGTCTAGGGGAAAAGGAAACCCCCAATCGGTAGGTGGGCAATCAAACAACTTTTTCATGGATATGACACGTCACGTGGTGCCCCCGCTGCCCCCTATCTCCTCGCTGCTATCTCCTCGCCATGGTGATGATTCGGAGGATGGGAAGGGGAAGGACTACTTCCGTTCGCTTTTTCACCCTAACGCAAAACTGGGTAAATTCTCATTCACTCTATTGCCCAAAGAAATTTCACTTCAATAACTAATTATTCACTTCTTATAAGTTCTCTTTTTAAATTTATTTTTAATTCGTCGAATCGGATGTCGATAAACCATTTTTAACTTTTTTTTTATTTTTCACAGAATATTGTTGAGAATTTGGGGGTGTGGCTTAGAATCGATGGTTGCTTAGATTCGAATAAGTACGGTATTTATGAATTATAGTACTAATAATGGATTATTAAATTATGCCCTTTTTGGTTTATTTTTAATTTGTAAAAGTTTTTTTAAAAATTAAATTTAAATCGTGAATTTATTTTATGAGTTGTCTTTTTTATGTTAAATTTATAAGCTTAAAAAAACCACCTAAAGCTTTTTTCACATATGACGTGTTTATTGTAATTTGATCAAATTTTCACAGATTAAAAATATTTTTATTCCTATTATTTTGAAAAGAAGAAAAAGCGCAGATTTCTCTGGCTAAATAAGTAATTTTTAAATCATAAGCTTTCGAATTACTTAATGCAAATTTATATTACATCGAAATAAAAGTATCTAATTAAATATTGTAAAGTAATATAATTCAAGTATCTCATGATGGCTGCGTTAAATTTTTCTGTTGACATTTTAATTAAACCCGTAGCCCTTTAAATTTTTTTGGTGCAAGTAAATCAAAAACACGATGCTGATGTATTCAGGATAATTCGTTTGATATTTTTCAGAGACAAAATAGATAAAAATTGCTGTTATACATTTATCTATGTATATAAAAATGGATGTTTGTGTAAAGACAAAATCGCTTCACTCTAGCACAATTCAACCAATCACTTTGAAAATTGGCATGAATATGTATTTTTTTGTGGAGAAGGTTTTTGTGAAAATTTTTGCAGCTTCCCACCAGGTGGCGCTACAGCACATCAATTTTTGCACCGTTCAATCGATCACCAAGTCGGTCGCCAAAAATGATGCCGACTTGGCTCTAAATTTCAGTTCAAGACGGAGTTTCTTCCTGTCTTTTCGCGGAATGCTCCTTAACATGTGCAAGAGAGTTAAAGTACCAGCATTACAAGATTTTCTCAGATGGTCACGTATTAAAATTTGTTTTTGTGATTAGAA